CACGCGTCCATTAGTTACTAAAAGCGGTTTTCCACCCATTATATTGTTTGACCCAAACATTCCCGTGCTCTGTTTCATTGGACAGCCAAGTTCTATCTTGTCTTGCAGTGGTCAGCAGTTTGTGAACTGGAAACTATTGTGCGTGACTTCAAGTATTACGGAGTATATATTTGTATACTTGCCCCCATCTGATTCACTTGTTCAAGGAGTACTAAGACGCGTTAGATTCAGACCTTCTAGAGTTCTACATGCACATACAACGGTTTTGCTCAGAAGGGCTTACTTAATTCAGGTCAGTGTTCAAGCGCTGACTGTCTACGAACTGTTTTAGAAGAGCAACAAAGCCAGCTTTGTGCTAAACCTGCCGCCCTTAGCAGATCTGTTAACAACCGTAGCTCGTTTGGATACACCATCTTCCTGATCATTCATCATTTACTCAGGAAGCCGGAACAACGAATAAGCAAGTTTTCTTACACAGAGCGGGCCACTACATTTTTATGAGTGAAGATAGTTTTAGGGTGCACCGGTTAAGTTGTGTTACGTAAATAGCATATACCGGCCTTAATTTATGATCTATTATGTGTCGGAGTGATAAGAATTTTTGTCCTTTGAGTTTTCAGACAGTGTGATTATTGTAACATTCACACTCAGGTTTGGTGTGGATACACTTGGAAGTTTATACTTGCCTTATTCCATCCAAACCGCTAGGCTACTTGTAGGTAGACTGGCCCATTTTCTGGAAGAAACTAAATGGCTGAGTGTAACTACTGCCACCCTTGTCTCGTTGGGGTACGCCGAAATTGTGCATAGTAAAAAGGGCAACACAGGTATCAGAAGTCTCAGTTATGTCAAAGTTATCTTACTTCTGCGACTCGTGAATCAGAATCAGCATATTGATGTGAACCAGACCATTGAACCAAAGAAGAAAATTCAGGATTCTCCGCCCAATCGCAGGAGATCTACTGAATTCAAACAACATGTACAGAGGTAGCGCAATTAGAGTATTAGCTGCCACATCACTCAAAGAAGACCCATGAAAGCTGAAGCGTTTAAGTCACCGAAAGGAAACGGGACCCTCACAAATGGATTACAAGTATAGATTTCTGTCTTAACCGTTTGCGCCTTATCGATTCTGAAGTGGCCTGACCATCAAAAACCTGCTTGATACACCTCCAAAGTGGCTGGACTATGATAAGAGCTACTAAGCAATGAATAGCCCGGAATGATGTATTAAAAACAAATGCGAAAAACACTTGTAAGTGGTAGTGCTTCACACACAAGACGCACATACAAGACAATAACTATATACCCCACGAGGAAGGATCACTGTACGGGAATGCTCGGTCACGTCAACATGCTCACAACTAACTTGTAGGTTCTTGTATTCGATAGATTTCTGATGAGATTTCCGCGCACTTCGTAATGGCCAGATTCTGCCGTAACACATCTCAGAGGGCTGAAACTTGCCAACCGGTTTGTGCCCGGAACTGATGTAGAGGTAACGATTGTTGGAGAAGAATCGTGTTCACCATTGTTCGCTGAAGAGACATTGACAAAATTTCCCAATCCAAGCCTTCTTACTGTGGCAAATCGAGATAAACGACTTGATCCCTTTTCACCTTGGTCTCTGTGCAAGGCAAAGGGAAACATGGTTTTTAGGCACTTTGGAAACATGCGAGCTGTGCAGTTGACAGTGAGCGAGAATGCACTTTTGGACAAAATAATTTTGCCACTTCTTTTTGCTTTTTTCCACGCAGAATCAACTTGGAAAAGTCTGCGGAATACTTCAGCTTTTATGGTATTTCATTGGACATTCAAAAATAAGCATCCATTTACGTTTCTCAGGGCTCCTCTACTTTAATTTTAATATCAGTTCTTAGGTTAATTCTATCCCATGTGTAATGAAAGCGATGGTATCCGAAGTAGCGTTGTAGGAACTGATTTTTCTCCAGAGATCTTCTCTGGGGTGAGACCTTTTGATCTCATATTCGCCTACAGGACATGTGGATAAAGGGAATTTGATATAACCAGCGTACGGGGGAAAACTTGATCCAACACGACTGTTATCCGAAAAAAAATGCATAAGGCTTTAGAAATATGTAAGCTCCCTAGCAATTTGAAGCGGAACATCTACTTTGACAAGGGTCCCGCGGACAAAACTATGAACACTGCTCACAAATCCCTGAGAGAACCGGTTTCCAGGAAGACATATTATCGGTACTACACTGACAAGATACCCACTGACCAGAAGTCGCTTTTGATTTGGCAGGTGCGCTATGTTACACAACGTTCAAGGATTGACCAATGTCGCGGTGATAAAAATCAAATTTCGGTAAATTGATTGTTTTAACCAACTGCTCTGGGTGGTTACGTTCGCACGCGCTGAGCACACTACACGCAAAATGAAATTCGTCTGGGTCACTACAAAATCGTTTATGCGTTGTCGTTGCGTAACTTGTGCAAATTAACAATCTGTCTAATTGTTAGGTACGGTCGGGCCCATCCGCGACAAATGTATTTCTACCCCCTGTTTCATACGGAAACTTCGGCGAAATAATGATCTAATAATGAGCTGGTGTTGAAGTAATTAGCGTACTAACAAGATTCTTGGAAATCTAAATGAATGTGATTGCATCTCGCCCCAATTCATTTTCCCGATATTGTCACAGCATTTCTAAATTATCGCAAAATCTACAAATTTTTGTTTAGTGCTTACGCGGAAAGTGTTTTTAAGGCACGCATGTGTACTTTCCAAGTGGCGACAGAAGTGGAGTTCACATCAGCTGCGTAACACCTCCATAAACTTTGAATCAGAGTCGCTGCTGGGACACGTCTTCGAATCAGGTGCTTTTCACGTTGATGCTGCTGGACTTTAAGGGCAAAACCGCTTCCAAGAATACCCTGAGAGACAGATGGGAGAGGCATATGTTCGTATCAATAGGGATAAAGTCAAAATGAAGTCAGGCAGTCCAAGCGCTTCACCATTTTTCATGAGTAAACCCCCAATTCTGTGACAGTCAACCATAATTCAATTGCTTTTCAACAAAATTATAAATTACGGTTGTTTGGTTCCGTTTGAAGGCCGCTTTGGACGCGCATAGCACAAAATATATTCCAATGATTTAAATTGTTCGTAACCGAATTCAAAATGCATTTGATCTCTTTTTTCGAGCAGCCCCTTCTTTGAGAGTACCAGGTATCAAGTGTCAAATATCTGAGAGAATTCCAAGTAGCCTACTTCTTTTCGAAAGCGGCTGTAAACTGATGAGTTGATATTTGTCTATCTTGTTATGTTCCGACATCCTGAAATAACAGTTGGTGTTTCTGTATGATGCAGTGTTCTGTTCGCGCTTGCTTCACTTTCCATCTCCCAAGACACGCTGTAATCTAAGTTTACTTTGCCAAAAACATGCATATTATTCACGGAAACTGCCGGTTCTATTCCCGGTGATATACAACCAGATTTATTCATCTGATCGGCAGATTGCGTGAGGTCGATGTGTAAACAACATACATAACATCATCTCTGCATTCAGAGGACTGTTTTAGCAAGACATTCGTTTGGGTGGTTGAAGTTTAGGAATTACTTTGGGGATACCATTCGCTTCGTCAAAGCTTAGTCATAAGGACTTGTTACGCGTGACAATTCCTTGGTGAGTAAGATGCTTGCAAGAATGCATAGCTGAAAGCCAAAATTCAGTAGGTTCTGCCTGGCGCTCCCGAGTCGAATGTAAATAAGCTACACTGTCCTTTTATTGACCGTTTATTTCAGGCACAGTGTCTTCAATCGTTTGCCATTGTTGAGGGAGGAATAACTACCCAACCAACTGGTTAGACAAGTGAAAGTTGGGGAATTGGCTGGAAATGGTCAGTTTCGCTTTCCTCAGAACCCCAGGCAGAGCAAATGACAGGTAATATGAATGATTCCTGGGTATCAACCAATTGGACGACAAACTCATTTGAGCCAATGTTCACCAGTATATCTGGGTAGTTCATATTACATATGGTCAATACGTCATAAAACAAGTCACTAAAAACTTCACTTTTTCCATTAACTTTCGATACAATCAACACCTGAGTTGAGTGTAAGTGCGGATGGGTGTCAGCCAAATATCTGTAAACTTGTGAAATCTCTCGTTCCTCGAGGGTTTGCGGAGTCCCTTTGGGCGCAGCTATCGTTATGAAGCTCAGTGCAAATAACCGGTCTCTAGTCAGTCTTGACCAAATGGGGTTATGCGGACACAGTTTTCTCTTTCGAGCACTGTTCCATCCCTGTTTACTGAGACGTACAAATTGACGTAGGTAGTAGGTTTCCGCAAAGCTCTTTCCAGTTTAACTTTTATGGAAACATGTCTTGTTGGCGGACATACTTATTTTCCTTCAAAAAATATCACTGATCAAATTATTCCGTAATACAGTATATGACAGTGGGGATAAAGATAGGTTAATAAGGGCATGATCTGTTTGTTTTTCGTGACTGTTTATTGGTATCTCTTCAGGAAACCATTATTAGTTTATGGAATTGTCATCAATACATCTACGCCGCCAGATTTTTCGGAATAACAAAGTATTTTTGAATTTGGATGTCCTTTACACCCACGTCTGACTGTGTCAAAGGTCTAACAATAGTTGTCAGTTCAATGGACGTTGTGACCAAATGACTCATTATTTTTTGTAACAATAACCAGTTAATGCAAGTACAGCCCAAATGATGACAAAGTAGCCTGAGTTCGCACTCACTAACCTACCGCTGGCAGAGCAAAGAAGGAGATTCCTGCGACGGAACAGCAAGCAGCGACAATTTTTCCCATCCACGTTTTTGGAACAGTATCACCGTAACCCACGGTACATAGGGTTACCTGAAATTAAGAAGTTTCTGCTTAGGTATGGGGCAAATGTAAAAAGATGACTGACATACAGTTGAGAATAAGCGGATGCAAGTTGCTGCTAGATTGACTCTCTCAATGGAGAAGGATAAGAAATGCGAAAAACCTTATAAAGCGGCTCTGGCAAAAACATTGGTGGAACCGATCTATGCTGAGAAGCCGAGATGAAACTGAAATCGAGCCAGCATAGCACGGAAATACATAGAGTCTAGAACCGCCGACCAACCCCTCAGTGGCTCTAATATTTGGCTGTTCGGTCATTGGGGGCTGATTAGGATATCGATTATTGTGCACCTAAAGGGTAGACAGACTTATCTATCCTTCGGCCACTAAAATCCACATCGTGTGGTCACGTGTTGACTGGCCCCTAGGGTGACGGATACTCATCATTCATCTTGTAAGTTAAATCCCATCTGAGCAACCAACAGACTGATGATGGACTGGACTGACTTCATTTTCAAGACAGAATCTCTAATGAAATTTCCCAGTTGTCAGCAGAATTAAATAAAAAATCAGTGTCGACTGAGCTACGATCGATTTACTAAAGACGCCCAGCGATTTGCGAGCAAAAAGCTTAAACCGGATTATTTCATAGGGCCGTCTGGAGGCATTTTTATTCTAAAGAAAACTACTAAAACTCCAGCTTCTTTTGCTCGATGAATCCGCGCCGAAGGAGGAATAATCAAAGGTCGTCTTGAGCGACAATTCTTTGTTATTTACAGAGAAGGCATGTCGAAGCAAAGGACCATTTCTAGTAACATTCCGCATGGGTCTGTTCCCGCTCTCATGCCGTTTTTACCCTACAACCATCGATTGCTAACATGTGTTCAGTACCCGTTTCTGTCCTTTGCAAGAATTTGTGGAGAACAATTTTTTTGGTCAAAAAAGCTATCTGAAAGGTGAAAAACGGGAATTCGTCTATAAATGTAGATTCACGTGTGTACCGATATATCGATAGCAAGGCGGATATCGGCGCCACACATATCGATGGGACACTACCAAGTTTTTCATGCTGCAGAGATGATCTTGATGGTAGGTTAATGGACATATTTTGTGACTATATCCTCGCTAAGTGGATTTGTTCCTCGGTAAGCTCTGTGCTAGTGGGCATGCCTGGATTATTCAGCAAACTTATGCTACCAGCTTTTAGAATTCTTTAATCCACACACGTGTCTAAATCTAATGTTCGCTGGATGGTCACCATATCCATGTATGTCAAGTAAGGTGCAAGAGGTAAAGCGAGTAAGAAGTGCAAAACCTGCTCAGCATGAAGTGCGTTTGGATCACTTTGTGAACCGCACCTACAATGAGTATCGTATGGAGTAAGAGTGTTTACATATCGTTCCGGTTCACCGTGGTTAAGTTCAAACAATCTGCCTTTTTCTTAAAAGCTCGTGCTCTAATCCGGAGGGCATGCACTCGTCCTGGATTCTTCTTCATGCGCAAACCAATATTCTAGACCCTATTATTCAAAGCGATTTCCTTAAATCACACTGCTCACACCCGGATGTAAGCAAAGGTTCAAACTGACCGATTCCAAAAGTTTTTGTGGTAAATTTCAGGCTACTGATACGGTAACGCTTAACTGAACGCGCGAAGTGGTGGCATTTTGTTGCACCCTTCAAAGCTGACGAAGCGACCAATAAACACTAACGCTGATAAAGTGAACCCGTATAAGACATTGAAATTCGGTAGCCTGTGGTCAATTTCCGAATTTTAGCACATTTTATCTCTTGCATTCATGCAATCTGGGGGATCTAATTCAGTGCAAATTAGGGTGATAAATAAATATGCAGTCATAAAGCGCAACCGATTATTGTATACGCGGCCAGTGGATACAGGATTCATATAGTTGTGCCATGAAATTCTTTATCCCAGTTGTAGCTTAAGCAAGTATAAAGACGTTAAAACATGGGGAGTTAATACGAATACTGCTGACTTCATGTGACCATCTGAACATGATCAAGTGCAATATGGTCCTCCGTTGTTCGTTCGTCGGCGTTTGAAATTGCATATATATATATATATATTTAGTGACACAAACGGTCAGATGAATAAGTATTTATTGAGATTGATGAACTAAACAAGAGCTAATGAGTGGTGGATAGATAGATGGGCTGGTAGAGAGATAGGTTAGATAGATAGATAGATAGATAGATAGATAGATAGATAGATAGATAGATAGATAGATAGATAGATAGATAGATAGATAGATAGATAGATAGATAGATAGATAGATAGATAGATAGATAGATAGATAGATAGATAGATAGATAGATAGATAGATAGATAGATAGATAGATAGATGATAGGATAGATAGATAGATAGATAGATAGATAGATAGATAGATAGATAGATAGATAGATAGATAGATAGATAGATAGATAGATAGATAGATAGATAGATAGGTAGATGGATGGATTGGCTGATTGACCCTTGAAGAATAGGTAGACAGATGGAAAATAGATGGTGAATGTAGGCTGCAGTAGTGATTTGATAATATCTGAGAAGCTGGACAGACAGCAGTGAATGCCAAATGCTGTACTCCCCAAAAGTATAGTGTTGGTTCACAACACCGAATAGTTAATTCGGCTCAGTTTTGGCAATTCTCTCAAGGTCGTGGAGCGGTACGCTGCTTGCTTATTCTGCAGGGCCTGGGGGGAAGCGATACCTCAGATGCGCGCGCAGCTTGGTGTGAGGTGAATCAAATCGGCCACAGAAGAAACGGCAGTCTCAAATTGTGACTCTCCAACGGTGGTTGATGTCCACGCGACTCAACTTTGCCAGGGGTTGATTTGCAAATGGTGGCCGCTAGTTGTCCCGATGAGAGAGTTTATGGTAGAATTTCGTACTGGCCAGAAGCTGTTAATGATCAGCAAACAGCTAAGAGATCCGCTCCCCGTGTGTCTGCCTGACCATCAACGAAGTCGAATGGACCACCCAGATGTAATTTCAAGGAGCCCATGTGAGCTACCCATGCATTCATATCACCCGCAAGGGTTATAAGGCCCATGTTCCTTGACGGACGAGTGAGGCGGGATGGAACTTCAGAATAATATCCTTCTCAACATCAGAACCGCAGTATGCTGGGGCATGTACCCACACTGCAAACAGACACCGTTTTGTGTCGAGTGACACTGAGCCTGAGCAGGCTGGATAACCGAACAAACAAAGACGATTGCTCAATGTAATCCAATCCAGCGAAGGGCGTTCAGTTCTGGAGCTGAGTGCATCTCCCACACCATGTATTCCACGAGTCATCGATCCCCATTGGTAGACACCCACAGGGAGAAATATAAAATTGCTAGGTTTGTCATTGGTGATATGAGATGCATGACCACATCGGTTTAAGGGGTAATTATATCGCGATAGGGATCCTTCGTTTGCTATTTTGATATACAGTACGGACGTTAAAAGCTTCCATGTAGGAGGGAGCTCGTGGATTTAAGGTGCTATTTTGTTTACTGGTAATAAGCAAAGGAGTGTATGAGGCAGAGAGGTTAGAAAACTGACAACCAAATGACCTAGCATAGTTTTGCTTTTGTGATGGGGAAGGTTCGGGTGAAGCATCTGTAAACAAAGAACTGTGCGGATAAATGACGCTTTCCGAATGTCCAGGTCAAGAAGGGTAGTTTGGGTGAGTAACAACACTTTGAGCTTTCAACTCAAAAATGTGACCTACAAGACAGTGGAAAGGCTAAGATTTGTTAGTGGATGCTGTTGCGAACCCCTGACTCAGAAGGCAGGGGACAATAACTCTTTGTCTGGGAGCCCTGACAGAGGCAAATTAATTAGTGGGCTGCAGAGGGCTCACCTAAACCAAGAACGCAGGGAGAAGGGCACAGCAGGTGGCATTTGAGCGGAACCAGACTCTCCGGTTTTTTAAAGTATTCCAACCGTACTGTGCCGGCGGTTACGGTGAACCATTGGGTGATTGGAGTATACAGTTTTAGAGCCGACATTTTTCTAATCCGTCCTTCATCTTGATCAGGCAGGGTCGCTTCATCGCGTGTGAATCTGCCGCCTTAGTGACCTCTAGACAAATAACTGCTTACTGATCCGGCAACAGCACACAACCGACAAAATGCCAACTTGTGAATCCGCTTATTGTAAATTTCTTTCAAAGGCTTTTACTCTGTGACCAAGTTAGCTTCTTCCGCAGTTGCGCCGCATTTTACCGGGATAATTTGCCAAATTCATGCATTTTAAGTAATTTGAACTATGCGTATTAGCGGTTAGAATGTTTTCTAGCTTATTGTACTCGTTTCATGCACTCGTTTAATTTTCCTCTTGAATCCTTTGGCCATTTCAAATGCCAAATTCATGCATTTTAAGTAATTTGAACTATGCGTATTAGCGGTTAGAATGTTTTCTAGCTTATTGTACTCGTTTCATGCAATCGTTTAATTTTCCCCTTGAATCCTTTGGACCATTTCAAACTACATAATTTTTTAGTGGCAATATATTGCAATAACTATAATTTTATCTATTTGGGGATGTCCTAACCAGTCTGCCTCTCGTTTTCATCCATATGTAACCTAGTTTCTCTCTATTAATAGAGTGATAAGTTACAGTTTGCTGCTTTAAGAAGGTTATCGTTTAGTTTGTTCGTACAATCCGACCCTTCGTAACATCTTTTGGAAAATCGTTATCCCAAGCATGCCACCTGGACGTCGCGTTTCACTCACTCAACAAAAAAGTCCGTATTCAACGCCCATCTGGGTTTTAGTCGACCCGTTTTAAGTTTATACATCCTGAGATGCTAGCGCAGCGGTGTGTAAAACAACAGGTTTTTGAAACACAAAGTTCTGCGAACTATTGTTTTTCCAAGGGTTCTGAAAGCATTTTAAAAGAGCTACAGAAGAATTCCCGGGGGATTTCTGAATGCACTTAATATAAGGGAAGGCGAGTTGTGAAAAAAAGCTTACTAAAATTTCAAATGGATTAGGGAAAATTGGATGCTTACTCATTCAGTCCGAGGCAGCTGCGGAAGAAAATGAATCTGTTCAATTTCTTTCAGTGCTACATACGTACAAATTGCAAACCAAATAAGAACTAATACTTGGGCAAACTGTCCGCGACAGTTAGCTTAGTTACTAACGTAACGAATCAAAACGACTGTTGAGAATATTTTACAGGCGCTCGGGTTAAGTAAAAGATATCTTTACTTCCATGTATTTGCAAAGGTTAACGGACCTCTCGATAAGTTTCCAGTTTGATGGTCAAGGGTTCGGTAAAAGTTGTATAAATCTTATGTTCGTCAGTGTCACATTCAGTGATCGTTCATGCATGCTGTGATGTAAATAATGGTGATAGCTTGGGAACATGCATTAGCGGTGGTCAACAGTGCAATAAATGACTGGTGAAGTGGTTTACTTGCTGTGCAAAATATCGAAGTTAACAGCAAACTATCGATAAGCTGCACAGTAAACCAGCGAATTTCACAGAGCGTCACATGGATCAGGTGAATGAAGAAGGAATGGTGCCGTATCCCGGTGAATAGCTACTAATCCTCCCATGACCAAATAACGTGACATTTTTCTACTAATCGGGAGGTTGAGGTATTTGATTTCTGCACGACAATGTAAGACGGATACTTCCGATGCCTTTCAAAGAGAGGGAAGCAGCTTTAGGATGTCTTGGCTTCCAGTATGGATTTCCATTGCTTGTCACTTGAAATCTCCAGCCATTTTTGGAAGATTACACTATACATGTGAGGGGTATTGGTGCAGCAGCTTTAGGATGTCTTGGCTTCCAGTACGGATTTCCATTGCTTGTCACTTGAAATATCCGGCCATTTTTGGAAGATTAAACTATACATGTGAGGGGTATTGGTGTCCAAAAGTTAGGTAGGATCAATATATTTAGAGAAAGTGAAGAAATTTCGGAGAAATTCATAGATATTCTAAAGTTAATTAAACAAATGCATGGTGTGAAAACCATTGCATTTTAAACATGCACATTAATAATTCTATCGAAAAAAAATTTAGGAAAAACTGAACAAGTGATTATTGAAAAAGGAGAAATTCTGGGAGAATAGTGTAACGTGATATCACACCACACGTTTTACAGACAAATTCTTCAACAAACTCTAACGTTTTCTGATACACGTCAGCTAATTCGGTATAACCCGTAAGCTTTCAGTCCTGGAAATGTGTGTTCAAAAATTAACTCCGATCAACGAAATGTTGACGATGCTTTTTCTCAAGTACTGTTATGAGAAAGCAGCAAGTTCCTCAATATGATTCGGCGAAACATAAACAAGCTGCGTTGATCCAAAAGTATTGATTAGCCACTTTGTTGGGTTGTTAGTTAGTTTTTATGCGGACAACTAAGGGTTCACTATTGTTTCGGAGTACATATTCTGACTAGGTTCTACACAATTTTTGCTGTCTCAGGAAATTTCAGCCATGAAAAACCCAAGTAATTGCTGTGACATAATTTAACTTAAATCTGGTCACAAAACACCGAATGAAAGCCGGCATTCACGGCGGAATAACTAAGACGGGGACAACCAAAATTTTGCGGTGTTTAGTGGACCAATAATGCTTTCTTACCACGCCCCACCATAAGGCATCTGCGTAGGACCGGATTTTTTCATTCGTGTCCCGTTCCAAAAGATAAACTAGGAATGAGCCGGATATCAGTGCCAGAAATCCAATGTACACTGTTGTGAAGAGCTCCTGAAACGAAAATGGACAGGAGTAGCATAATTTCTTGCTCTACTGTAGTCATTTTAAGTACATGTCGTAACTGGTATTTAAACGCTTAGTGGTTTTTAAGTGTCAAAATCTATTGGCAAGCTCAACGTTCCCAACAGGTCAAATGCATACATCTAGTGTCTTTATTCTTAGCTAATGAGCTCGAAACCTCATTGACCTAAGCATCAGTAAAGTGGTCAAATCTGCGCTAGCCCTTAATGAATTGACATTTCTAACGAAGCATCCTTCGGTCAACTACCCCGTAGTACTGTTGCACTACATTGGGGAAACATTGTAAAATCTCAGAACCCATGAGGACACGGGGCCGTTTTTCCCAAATGGGTTTTTTAGGCATCTTTTTGAGTAGGAGAACAAGCTTGCAGTCATTTCTTTCGAGGTTAGTTATTCCACACTTCGCTACGACAATCCTATTCCCTATAGAAGGTAGCAATGTTAACCTAATTAGTCACTGATTCTTTGAAAAAGCCTGATACCCATGAAGGCCTAAGTTTAGCTTTAATTAATTTTATGTTATCTAGCGGCATACATTAACCTGGGTGATTCAATCACGTTATATATGAAAAAAGAAAAATTGTGTGAGTTTAACTGAATTTAATGTTATGTACACGTGGCGATTAGAATAAAACACCAAGAAGGGTGACAGAACCATATGCAAGCAAGCGGGACGTACGAATAACGGGAGTTTTGTAATGGATGAATGGATAAGTTGGATGTCTTTTCACACCATGCCTACTGGAGTTGTGACTACTAGTTGATATCTTCTTTGACATATCAACAGATCTAAGGAAGCAACATCATGGTTTTCTTCGCAGCCTGATGTCCATTCAATATTTGCTTGCATATCACTAAAATTTCAAACAGGCTACCATTTATGCTAGACGTTTCTGGACCCAATACAAATGCCGTCTGCGTTTCTTCCACGCAAGCCCATTGTCATCTTCTACACACATTAATTCAGGCGGAGGCAAGTTTGAAATTCACAACAACTGGTTGACCACAACAAGGTATCAATAACATCAAAAAGACCAGCGTGACTACAATTTGCATAGTTATTATAGAATATGGTTCTAAAGTACGGAATATAGTATAGAATGTATAGTGTAGAATAGTTGAAACAGAGAAGACCCACCTGTCTATGTGCCCACACAACCGAGGCCAGCAGTTTCCACGACCCGCCTCTTCTATCCATACGTATCATACGAAGTATTTGAAAGAACCGTAAACCACGAAGGGGACTGGCAGCAAACCGCTGACTGTCCGTTCCCATTGAAAGAACGACAATACTTGCGATAATTACGGTCGCATCTAGCAGAAAATGGGGACAGAACACAAGGGTAACAAAGTTATTCAACATTATCCGTACATACACGCACGCGAAGAGAGGTAACAGACGGTAAATGCGTAAATCACCAATTAGTGTGCCTGAGAGTAGCATCCGAGAGACGATCTGCACATACTGGCGAGAAACCCTACTTAAATGTCCACTGCAGACAACCACGGGCAGTTAACACTCAGATTATCTAGATTAAATGATGTAATAAAATCAATATAGCCTAAATCTAACGTTTACAAAAAACACTTGCATAAAATGTATAGTGTTTCTTATTAAGTTATGAAGTTTTTGGGTGGATAAATATCTCGTTGCCTACTGGCATATCACAGTAAGTGGCAGATGCTCCAAAGAGAGGCCAGATAATTTATCATACAAAGCGGTGCCCGCCACAATCCAAATCTAACAATTTTCACCGATATTCTACAATCTCATACCATCCTCAATGTTTAGGACTAAGTCGGCTATTATTTCGCCTAGATTTTTCGACTACCGGAAGTTAAAGAACAACAATATTGCGTTACCGAGTAGCTCCATCAGATTCTGGAGGCTCTGCAAGAATCAAATGGTTATGTGGCAGAATCTGAAAATTTCCACGGCAGCAGTTGAGCACACAGAAGATAAGACTATCGCTTTTGCTGAACTAACAAGAAAAATCCATTGTGCAACTGATATTACTAAATACGGTTGGACAAGTGGCTCAGCATGTTAGACGAAAATTCCCGGCAAACTGGTGTGGTTGTTTCCATATAGCATAATCTCTGTTCACTCCTGAATTGTGGTGTAAGGGCAATTTTTTGCAACTGAGAATGAAAAAGAAACCAGAATTTTCAAAGCATAATGCGTCGCTGTGTGGTACCTTCTTCGAAGTACATGACAGGACACTCAACGAAAAAAAGGTTTGCTTTGTTCAGCATGACCTAGTCACCATAAACGGCAACAAGAAATGGGCCAACTGATTTCACAGATTTCATACAAAGTAGAAAATATCGCCAGTATCTGGAGGACGGCAGGTTTGTTTGCTGGCACGTATTTTTGGCGAAAAGTGTAGGTATATTACCGTCAGCCGGCAGCCTCTCTGGCATCAGAATCCAATTTAGAAATAAGACTTCGTTTTGTTATGAACTGTGCCATGGTTCCTCATAATATGTGTAAAACTGAGATTGCATCCAAACGAGTGGGAATGAATTTGTAAATGGGGCTGCCGAAATTTTACTGGAACCCCAAATTGTCTAATACCTGATAAATGATATGAGCCTTATTTCATTTGAAAGCATCTGTAGAAATAGTATTTCTGCAGAACTGTATATATATATGGTAAGCTTTTGCTGAAGTAACCATTCCGAAGCATATAGAGCGGTGCACTTAATTGCGCATCAACCTGTTTTCTCGATGTTCACGAAAGATATCGACCTACTTTTATGTGTGAATTGTTTGTAATTTACATAAAGCAGCTCTATATCAGTTTTGTTTTGTTAAGGGTTTTGTCATTATCGCGGGGTTTAGGTAAGACCGGATGACACCAGGATAATATAAGACCCCTCTCCGAATGGAGATCCACAACTGTGTATACATAGCGTGTTTCAAAATCAGTTTTGAACTTTCGCTAACCTCCAGTACGTTTTTCCATAAAACAAATGCAAAATAACAAGTACGTAGTGATTCTGAGTATTATTTTTCTACGATGATAAACTGAGAGGTGAGGATGAAGCTCTTGTGCATAGTAGAAACGGGCAAAGATGTTGTGGACGACAGCAAGATGGCAGAAAATAAAAGTACTTACCTACAAGGCAAAATGGTCTGTGCATAAATCGTAATCTGCCACGCCATGTTTGGTAACGCGATCGACAGCCTGCACACCACACTCGAATGCAATATTCCGCAAAGAACCAGAATAGCATGGCCATTTCCTGCAACAAAACGGAACAAACAAACCATGGATTGATGGGCGGTGTATATTAACACGGTATTAAAGTGCTGGGGATTTTCAAGAGAACTTTCGCGGTTTATTGACAAATTGGTCTCTTGTCTTGTGGAGCTTTTATGCTATTAAATGCGTTGGATCTAGACAGGCTGCTCCATCACTATTTCATTTTTCAGAGGTTATAAAAATGATTGTGAGTAAAATATATTGCGCTTGACCGTTACTGCCGAGGTTAATCACAATGAGAAGAAGGACGTTTTGAATTCTATCAAGTGCGCTTTTTTGCTCGCATCTAGCATGGTGATCACGAATGTTTCGAAAGTTATGACCTTAGGTGCTCTTGTGAAATTCGTAACCACCTCATTGTTGACCAGTGACCTCTAAGAACATTTAATCGATTGAAGTGTGCCTTCGAAAAAGCCGCTTTCGAACTTCAACTTTGTTTGCACCAACCTGCTGATGGTGTTGAGATTTTAAGATTCATTTGCTGATGCATGCCAATTGAACAGTTACAAGTGTTTTTCAGATATCACTATTACACCTGACAATTAAAATTTTTGAGCAACCATCTTCTTTACAGAACATGTATTTCCAGGCGTCTGTAAATGTGGCTATAATAAACTACATGATACATTTTGCGATGGAGACTACTGACACAATGTTAATAGTCATGTCGTGTGGCTCGTCAGTGTGGCAGAAAAACATACCGCCAACTTCCGTGTGGAGAGACAAGCGGAGCGTATGTTGCTGCGGTACTTTTGTTTGAAATTGTTGTCGTGCTTGAGTTCACTCCCAGAAAGCTATAAGTCACTTGATTTACCCGAATCCTCTCAATCAAAACAGTTTGTTCTAACTGGTCCTCAAAGGAAGGCGGACGAGTTTGTTTCAAATATTATCCCGACAGGTATGTTGCCGACTCGTGTAACAAGCTCAGTTACCGGGTATTCGCTGCATAAATCACGCACACGCGCAGATTTTCACGTGATAATTAGGTATACCTAGAAATGCGCTGGCGCGTTACCCGCTATACACTCACATTGTATCAGCTGACCGAAACTCAGACCCCGGCAGCACCGATAACAGGCTTTCCCATCGAGTTTTGGCCAGAGGAAAACCGATACCACTATTTGCATTCGTTGGGGATAAGAGGTAATAAGCACGTCAAACTGGAGCGAAGCTGCTCAGATGAAGGTGATCTGCCTACCATCCTAACAAGCACAGCTGCCACTCGCGAGCAAACAACGTTTCTTTCGCTTGGTGCAATGAATGGTAGCATTCCTATCTCACACACAGCTGGAATAAGCCTGTTACGGCTTATTTGCAAAGGAAGGAAAAAATGAACTATAATTTTGCTCTGCAGTGAACACAAAGACCGGAAGTAATTGAGCTGGCTATGATGGAAACCAGTGTTTGAGAAATTTGCACATAGTGGTTATGAAGTCTATTAGCCTAGTCTATTAGTTGTTGGTTGCAAATCGGACGCATTGATGGGTGTATGAGGATTAGTTTATAAAGCCATTCAGGTGAACCTGGCTTTGGGAATGTGTACTGCCAGTGACACTCACAGACTCTGCTTAAGTACTCGTCTCTTCAGTCTGACCAACGCATCATTACGACCGAGTTGTTTCTGCGGCAGCCTGCTGCAAAACAAATTTGTCTTATGCAGTCAAAGAAATATTGGCTGCCGCAAAGAACCCTAAGCATGAATGAATTCGACTGTTTTGACATGTCCTGAAGAGGCCACTGGGCGCTGACATCCAAAAAATATGATCTGGGAAGGAACTATTCGTAATTAGTCTATAACCACACACAGAAACGTGGTCGCCAACCAAGGTTTCGAGTATGTGTGTTATGCAAGTATGTTTTCTGTGTGGTTCCTCTTACAAAATGATAAGCAGTGTTTGGACGTATATTATCAGACATGTCCTTAGATAAATGAAACGTTTATTGATCGGTTCGTGCATACCTTTTTTCCACTGCTACAAATTTCGGTGCCAAAAAGACACGGATATAAATTAATTATTCGTCCCAAGACGATTCAAAAGCATTTTGACGAAATTAATGAATTTCGCGATCCACTTAAAACATACCCCGGCAAGTCGCCTCTGTTCGCCATCTTATTTTAAGACAGAAACAAAATTCAATGTCAGGGGCAGCTGTTGCTCGGTCGAAAAATTTGCTACAAAAGCAGCTATGTTCTAGGATCATGATGAGGCGAGGAAGATCGAAAACATTTTAGCCCTCCATTAATCCAACTACATCCCGGTGAGGATTTCCAAACCGATCAGAATATGCTTTTATTTCTTCGCAAATTTACCACATTTTAAGGGTAAGCATCGTGTGAGAGCTTGGCGAAGCAACTGTTTGAGTAATCATTCCCTGTGGAGCGTTTCCACAGTGGTGTAGTTACAGCCGCCCAGTTGCGAGTCACTCACTACCGAAGTGTCCTGACGATTGGTTAACACAATTCGAAAACGGTATAACTTCGAAAGAATTGTTTCAGGACACATCCTATCCTGCTGCTTAAAACCAGGGAGGTTTGTTTTAAGCAAACATTCAAGAATCACGACATGGTCCAAAGAACACGGACTCACCAAATAAAAAAGCAAAATTCCTGCAGTTTTCTCGTGTTCCTTTAACGTGGATAAGACACTAAGTTGTAGGCAGATAAATACGCAAACAAATCTGAAATAAAGAAGGGAAGGAGGACAGATTACCACCGATTGTTCTCAAAGGTTATTCGGAAGCGAACAATTTACTCTGCTTATTACCTATAAATGTGGTCAAGATATATGTACACCGAAGAACCACAAGTTTTCTCCGCAACTACGTTACTCTCGTTTGCGATAAGAGGATAGACCGACGGATTAAACAAACATGCATCACGCGCTCGGCTTATCGGTATTTTGTGTCCATGTATCGAGTTCTTTTCGTTGAACGCACTTATGGCGAAAGGGCTTGATTAGGTGGAGTTCGACCTGGATGATCAGGATAGAGTTCCAGCCTGTGAACCACCGGACCGAGTCTCTCCATTAAGCATGTGTTTCTAGTCAAGTGTGCTCAAGCCTGGACCACACGTTGCACGGTAACGGTGTGCAAAATGATGAAGCCTGGACCACACGTTGCACCGTAACTGTGTGCAAAATGATACTCACTTTAACACGCGACTTCGTACAATTTTCACATTTATTGTGATTTTTTCTGCTTGAATTATTCATCTAATTTCAGCCGAATCTCCTTCTCCATTTCACACAGTGGGTCTATATACTTCTATGTTTCTGCCCTGGAATGTTGTGCTTGTTCCGCAAGTTGGATGAAAAGCGCCGGCTGATCGCTCTCTTTCTGTTGATACAAATGTTTCCAACAGTTGAGAACGCTATATAAACGGTCTTTTAGGTTGTGTAACATCTCAGAAATCGTTAATAACGCACAATTTTATGCAACAACACAGCAGGCTTTTGCAAACGCCTACATATGTCCTTGTTTCATTGAATTTATTCGCGGCTTGGGAAAGATCCTAGTGTTAATAGCAGTCTTGTTCTTTCGCTCAAACACGCGACCCAGCCATTGCAATAAAGGCCGGACAGTTTCCCAGATCGCTGTGTATCCAAATGACTAACAGGTTTCGCGTTACCACTTTAACAGTATGATGATGGAAGGCCGCGCAAATCACCTGATAATCAATCCACCGCCAACCTTTTAGTAGTTTTTAACTCGACTGTTGATGACATGCGTAATTGCAGACATGTGTCCCGAAGCATCCATTTGCTCATTACCGATAATTTCCAGATCAATGGTGAGTGACAGATGCTTTTAGTAAAGCGTGTACGAAATATGCTACTCAGTACAGGTGAATTGTTCACGGTGACTACACTTATATATCAAAATCTCTCAAGCATCGACGCGGCTGGTTTGTAGTAAAATGGTTCGCGCACAACCGTACGATACTGCTAAATGAAACTGCTTTATATGAAGTCTCTCGGCGCTAAACAGGTCATTGCTAAAGGGGACGCATGTAACTTCTGCGCGTTTTTCGCACAAAGTTTTCATACATTTCGGGTACCAATGACCAATCCAGTACCAATCCCGAGGTGTGCATCACTCGGAGCAAATATGCCTTTTTTCAGAAGAAGGAAACAGTTTCAGAAAGGCTGTGCTTACATTCAGGTGTAAACACCGGAGGAGTCAACCGGAGCTGTGTCACGTTTCTTAAACTCTAAGTTGTATAAAACTAAACGCCTCATTGTTTTGAATGATTGAAATGATCAGACTAGTTAGTGCATATACTGTCACTGTAATTCTATGTTTGCGACATACTTCTGTGAGGGCATGCAACCCTTTTCAATATCGGTTAGAGGATGAAACATCTGACCAATTTAATGCTAAAAGATGATAGCTCAAAGAGAATCAGTCGATGTCATGATTGATGTTCTGATCGAATCATTATTGGGTGCATTATAAAAGCATAAAAATGTGATGGTGAGGTCATATAACCTTTGCTTCGATATAAAGTCAGATTTATCGAGGGCCAAATGTTGGCCTGATTGTAGTGGTGTGGATGACCTCATGCGGGTCATTTCTGTTGAGGCAAACAGCACGAATGCTCCACAAAACGTTTTATTCGAGAAACAGACACGTATGGACACATTTAGAAATCATCTGAAAGGAATGAAAAAGCACATCTGTGAAGCTGCATAAGTGTCAGATACGCTTATCACAAAAGTTGTACCTTGAAATCATATCAATCGCTCTATCAACAGGCTACTTGATGTCTGCAGTGGTTAAAGGTGTTTCGGACTGTTGAAGTGTCCAAAGAGTGGTTTATGCATCAGAATTCAGGAGTTGGTGGTTCCGGTTTTGTTATATGGGTGATAAAAGGTTTACGCAAAGATCCGGTTTTTCAGGTAACCCGAAGAAGGGTTGAGTGAGAAAGCTTGGCCAAGTTCAATTAGCTATGCTGCAGGAGTACTGTCGGCAGTATCAGAAATTTTCTGTTAACATCTACGCTCACAGTTTATTTCAAACGTACTATTCAAAGATACGTGGTATTAGTACTGATAGTCAGGGTATGAAACCATCCCTTCATGGTGACGACCAACTGAAAGGTTACAAGCAATAAGACACGAAACTACGAAACTTATTCGCGCCGTTTTTAAAAACCAAACATCCACAAGCATGCTCTCGAACTATAACGAAATTTTCCCCAATATTTGATCATTAATTTCCCTATCAGTGCTCATTCAGATACAGGGACTGCGCTTTGACACTTAGCCAAAAACTACTCGCATGAATCACCAATAGTATGCAGTATTATAACAGCATCATATCTGGTTAATTTAACTAAACTGGCTGACACAATTAGAAAAATGGTTAGAAAAATGATTGAACCACCATCAAGTACGTTGTTAACGACCTCACCCCTGCTATCACCTTATTCTTACATGTCATCAATTGTAAGTTCGTTTTTTCACTATCCGATGGCCTTTCATATCGAGTAAGCGTCGTTCCTCGATAAGCAAATGCAGTCATCGGACTGGAGTTTTATAATGTAACAGTAATTGACTCGCGTTTGCTCATCGTCTTCTACTGTCTACGTCCATATGGCACGCTTGTGTATAATACACGTCATCCAGTGTTCACTCTTATCATTGCCTTTATTTTTGTTTGTGACCATTTATTGTAATCGTGCTCTTTAGACTTAGACGTTATCACTAGTGAAAATTACTTCCAATCTTAGATAGGTAAGCCGATTGAGAGGTGATCTTTAAATGTTATCTGTCAAGTCCATATGAAAATAGACAGATGACCAGAAATCTTAGCCATACAAATGCTCAGCATTCTCCAGGATCACTTTTCAGCCAGCAAAATCTGGCCGCTATAAACATTTCCTAGAGTTTCTCTGTCAGGAACTGCTATAATTTCCAGTATATATATCACTTTATAAAAAGCAACCTCCGGTAATGATAAGCTTTTTCCAAAGAAATGTTACTAAATAAGGTTCCGAGTCACCAGTTTATCCAAGAGTATTGTCCAAAAACGGTGACTTTCCGTCCGCCCTTGCGCTTCGGTGAATCTTTTTTGTTTCGGAGTCTGCACGTCAATAGTGGTTCCGCCTTGGATTTTAAAATTAGAAACAGTGAAATTTACCCGCTGCTCACCGAAAGACTAACCTCAAACCACCGAGGACCAGATGGTAAGCTAATATCAAAGAAAATCAGCGTCTCGATACCAGGCTCACGGACAACCTTACTGGACTGTCAGCATGGTTGCATTTCACAAGGTCATCTAAATAGAAGATTATTGACTGTCGGCTTACTACATCAGGATAGAGGGTTACGGAGAGTAAAAAGTATCTAGTGGGATATGTTAGTAGCATTTCTTTCACAGAATCCTAAACGTCGGCAGATACTTGGGGACTGCGCCTGCATGATAATCCCCAAGAAGCGAGAAACCGGTCGCGGGCTGTTGAAGAGTTCTCAGCAGCAGTATAAATATTTTCCTTTGTGTGAAAATAAACCGCAATATCTTGAATATAGTGCCAACTGAAACAAAAAGCGGACTTTGTGCAGTAAAAGCAGTTGAAAAAACTCTTAAACGAGAACTTGAGTCTCCCATGCAAACCAAACTGATTCGCAAATGAGTGTATTTTTCCTAAACAGAATATTGTTTGACATAAAGATCATGGTAATCAAGCATTTCTCCTAGAAATCTTCCAGCTCGCTTGATTTAGCGCCGATTTTTGAAAACAACATAAATTTGTGGGTATTTTGCAAAATGCACTTGTTCAAAACTTAACATTCTTTGATCCGGGCGAGAATTGACAAATCCTGCTCATTGTCTTTTATGCTAACAGACATGTGGGACTTAGGGAGAGCTAAATATTTTGGAAGTGTAGAGAAGCTTGGTGGCATCTCTTGCTTGTTTATCGCTTTCAGACAAAAGTGTCGTAAGTACTTTTACTTCAAGCTTTACTGAAGTGCGGGAACACAGTATTGGATACCATACTGATGGGACGTTGAGCTGTCAATTTTCTCCTCCCGCGACAGTAACAGTCTCCTAAGTGTATCCGACCTCACAGTTGCGATGGTTTGTTGTTAATCTGGTCCTTAATATCCTTTGTTTTTGTTCCTGTTAACATAAACGATCCCTAGCGGACCATTTTACTGCTGCTCAAAATATCTTATTAGCCTCAGGTCATTAATTCCCAATGACAACTTGGACTCTGACTTCCCTCCCCCAAACTTGTGATCGATGTTTTATGGTGTTTCTTCATTGATACCGTACAAATGTAAAATTCCGCACTAGGTCGTGACAAAGACTTAAATCTTAAGCGCGACTGCTGTTTGAACAATCTTTTTTATATTGCTTTTTATTCGACTAAATTGTGATCCTGATCAGACAGTTCATCAGTTAATATGCCCTTAGGGAAGAAGCGATAACACAACATCCTTTTGAATCAGACGCCCACGATCAATTCTATCAGAATTTGAGATTGTTTAGCTAAGTTTACCCTGGAAAAATGGCTCACCATGCATGACATGATTTACAACTAAATACATTTCCACCGATTTCAGCACACATTTAGCCAGCAGGTTTGGCCGCAGCTTGTGTTGCACTAATCGGCATATTATTTGAGGTGAAGCATTTTTAATCATCAAAGAAAGTCTTTTTCTGTAAACACACA